CCGCATTTTGTTAGATATTGGAAGGCTCTCTCTCGCCTTCTGTAAGGTACACGGTGAAAACGGCTAGGGTAGTTTGGGAAGGTATAGGACATTGAGTGTTGCATCTGCCGGGTTTTTCGGTTTGGTTTGTGTTGTTGGGTACACGCGCGTACACTTATGCTCTACCAGCCAGCAGGACGGCTGTTCCTTCAGACCTGGGGCCCTCGGGTTATTGAGGGAGGGCCGGCAGGGGGAAGGGGCTGGGTAGGCAGGGGGGGCAGGGGGGATACGTTTTCAGAGCAGCCCAATCCCGATTTCCCGGTTTTCGGATGGGTCGCCAGCAGGTCACAACAGTTACAATGATTTTTATTGCAAATGTATACAGCCTTGACGGCTGTATATCATGTTTACTCGGGATTTATGGAGTTGAATTTTTGCGTTTGGGTTTAATAGATTGAAAAACACCTGAAGGAAATTTTATTGGTTCAAGTCGTTGGGGAAATTAATAACGGTTTAGGCTTTATGTTTGGCATTTTTAATTGTTTAGAGTGCAATTGATGTTGAGTCAACGCGGAGAGGTCTTTACGGAAAAGATGAAAATGTTTTCAATTCAATTCGCTATTTTCTTGATGTTACAAATGTTCCTCTTTGTTTTAGAAAATGAAGATGAATGAATCTTTAGTAGATGGAAACACCTGAAGGGTTTTTTGGGTCAATTTATTATAGACATTCATGATTTAATCATTATTTTTGTCATTTTTTATTGTTTAGAATGCAATTCTAAACAATTAAAAATGAATTTTTTCCGTAAAGAGAACATGAAGATATTGTCAATGCAATTCTTCATTTCCTTGATTTTACAAACGTTTTTCTTTGTTTTAGAAAATGAAAATGAATTAAGCTTCAGTAGATTGACACAACTAAAGGGATTTTTTTTTGTTTTATTCATTGGAGAAATTAAAAATGATTTCGTCTTTATTTTCGTCATTTTTAATTGTTTGGAATGGAATTAATGTTGAATCATCGACGCGGAAAGGTTTTCAAAGGGAACATGTCATCAATGAGTTGGAAATATTTCTTGAGATGGACGAGGAATCGAAGTGGGCTTGAACTCACGAAATTTTTTTTGAGTACTTTTTTTACAGAAAATGAAAAACTGCACGAAAAATCTTTGTTCTTTATCTCCGGTTCGGAGACGTGCCTCGAAATATTGACAAAGTATTCATTCTATTCTACGTGAGAGACAATTTTCTTGGTTTCGATTGCATTTTTGGAAAAAATTGAAATTTCATGGAGTGTTGACTTTAATAAAGCACGAAATTCCAGATTTCACTGAAATTAAAACGTAATAAACTTTTCCCAGAACTGCACCGAAAATTATAGAAAAAAATTGTCAACAGTGTGATTATTGTTATATAAAACATCACATTTTTTTTTATTTACATCTCTAGGATTTAAGAAGTTAATGGAAACAGAAACGCGTCTTTTTAATCTTTCAATCATGATATCCCAAGCTATTTAATGAAAAGAAACGAATATTTAAAAAAGGATTGAATTAAAAATAGTAAACAATTAATTTATTAATTATTCCGTTTATAATTGAGTTTTTAAAGACAATCTTTGAAAGATCTCGGCAAACCACTTTTATTTATTTATTTATCAAAAACTTACAGTTCCTCTCTCAACTCGATTTCTTTCTTCTTTCTTTCAAGTTTGAACGAGAAAAGAGGGGTTTTACCCACTGCACATTGTACGTAACGCAGCCGGCCTTATACCGTCGAAAATTCTCTTTGTCCCATTGTCATCGGATTTTCTTGTCCCCAGGTTCCTCGGTATTAGTACGAACACACACATTAACAGAGAGCACCGTGGAGGGGTAGAAAAAGGGACACGAGGCACAATATTCTGAGAAAACCGAAAACTTCCTCTCGATTTTTCATTGTTTAAGGATATCCTAATACTTTGGCTATTTGTCGCCAGGGAAATGCTCGTCTACTTTTGTAGTCGAACATCAGAGCTTTCAATTGAGCCCCAGTTGACCCTGAGTTTCCGCATATTTTACAAAAATTTTATCATTTAAACTTTGCATTTTGCTAAATTTAAATCTCGATATTGAATCGTTAGAAAACATTTTGTAAAATCTGAAAAAAATGAGGAAGGTTACTTTTTGAGAAAGATTTATGAAATAATTTAAAAATTACAATTTTTGAAAATTACGAGAATTTTCATAAATAATTTATAAACAATCAATTTTCCCCCATAAAAATCATTTGCTCGGAAGATTTCAGGAAGTTTAAACAATTTCAATCATTTATTTATAAACGAGTGTTGAAAAAAATTATAATTCTGTACAAAATGTAATTGAACGACGCTGAATATTCACGATTTTTTAAATTTTTCTCACACAATTTAATTAACAAATTTGATGATTGAAAATGGTTGCGTACTGTAAAAATCACTTAGACATCCTCAACCCCTGTTATTACCGATGATTTTTCAGCCATTTCAATCTGTCGCGCATAAATAACCGATGGCATCAGCAACGAGGAAATGACAATTATCCCAGTGTTTTTTAATTTTACGTAATAACACAGAGATAGTTTTTCCACGTTGTGCTTTGGTGTGCATCCCTCACAGCTGGTAAGCGTCCCCTGAAATCACTCGGTTTTCGTTGACTCGAGCGGTCCCTCGAAAAAAAATGTTATACTACAAAACGAAGTACTGAAGAGGAGGTCCTTCATGAGGGCTGTTGAGGGCCACCTGCCCCGCGTTGGTTACGCGTATGTTCCTCACCTCAACTTCAATAATCATAACAACAACGGGCGTTCATTCCTCCGAATTTATAAATGCTTAGTACTTTGGCATTAGGTTTCGTAGGAAGTTGTAAATCACTATTCAATTTCATATCCTTCATTACACATGTTTAAACAAATCAGTAGCGAAGCGGTAAAACGGTTTAAATCGACTGCCCCTTAACTGAGTTTTCGAGAAATATCTCCCAATCTGAGGGAGATAAAGAAATTTTCGTAATGACCTTTTTATAGAGCGAATTGAGTGTTACAAAAAAGGTCGTGACAAAAATTTTGCTATTTCCCTTAGATTTCGAAATATTCATTGAAAACTGGATAATTGTCGAAGTCGACTTGAACCGTTTTACCGCTTCGCTATTAAAATGTTTCGCTCCCGTTCAAATAATTCAAATATTTATTTGTTGAGCAATTTATTCCTGTAGAATGTTAAAAATGCACGGGTTGAAATTTTGTGCGGAAATTTCACGGAAATTCGTGATTTAAAAATCAGAATTTAGGAGGAAATCAAAAGAAATTGTGGATTACAGTTCAATTATTTTATTAAAATTGACAGAAAACAGGAAGATTCAAGTAAATTTGTGAATTTTCATCTTCCAATGCTAATAAAAAATGTGACTGAATTCGATTGCACAATTTTTCTTCTCAAATCAGTAAAGAAAACTTCAAAACAGTCTAGTTTCATTTTTTATTTAGTTATAAATACAAAAAACCTCAATCATGTAATTTCCCAAAGACATGCTCTCATTCAATAACTTCTCCATTAAAATACCGACGAAGACTTCACGGAATCGTAAATATGTACATATTTGCCCAGTACCACAGTCATTATCATTATGAAGGAAAATATAATCCCCCCGATGTGCACGTTACGGGGAGAACTAGTGTGCAATTTATACAAAAGATGTTAACGTTGTGTTGGTAATCGGTGGATTGTGGATTGGCCTGTGCGTCCGCAGGCGCCGCCGGAAGTTGCGCACACAGGTAAATGGCTAACAGAATGGGTGCGCCATCCAATGTGCTCACCTATTTTTCGCTTCACTGATAAAAATGAAAAACAATGATCGATAAGTTGTAGGAGGCAGCCTAGAATACTTTGTTGTCGTTGTTGTATTCAATATTTCATTGATCTCAAGATTTTTGACATCTTCATTATTTCAAATTTTTTAATTGCATTCTCATGGCATTTTATCTGCAAATTATTTGCCTGTTGACATTTTGTAGAGGAAATGATTTTCTACAAAAATGTCTTTTCACATTTTTTTTATAAACTACTCGTTGTGGAGGAGATCCCATTGTTTTGGATTTACCAATTTATCGGAATCGATGATCTTCTAGTCATCGTTACCTTCAAATTCATGAAAACCCTATTTACAAGAGTTGATAATTGACAATCCCTCTTCAACATCAGATACAGTAAATTATAAAATGGTCGATAAGGATCAATAAAAATCGATAAATAAATTTGAACAGAATACAGAAGAAATTACTTTCTCGGAGATCAAGTTTAGGGATAATAAAATTTTTTTAAGCACCTTTCTTTCAGAAGAAAAAATTATGATTTTTCGAAATTTATCATTTCGCAAAAGGACCTATCGATCAATATCGATCAATTGATCGACTAATGATCTTCTATTCATCTTCACATCACAAATTCCTAAAAATTGTAATTATAAGAGTTGCTAATGACCAATTCGTCTCCAACATCAGATCAAATAAATTCAATAATGATCGATAACGATCAATAAAGAATCGATAAATAAATTTGAACAGAATAAATCACTTCCTCGGAGATCAGTTTTGCAGATGATAAAATTTTCTTAACGACCTTTTCTGCAGGAGAAAAAAATTCTCATTTTTCAAAATTTATCATTTCCCCACAGGATCTATCGATCAATATCAATCAATTGATCGACTCTAATGATCTTCTAATGATTTTGAAATCGCAAAACCACGAAAATTGTACTGATAAGAAGTGCTAGTTACCTTCAATATCAGATAAGATAAACCGATATCACCTATAAAAATCGATAGCGATCAATGAAATCGAAATCCTTCAGAAGCATCAAATTCTAAACTACCAACTGCGGATATAACAGGACCTTTTTATATCGTCCCTCGCAGCACTGCCTTTACCAACGATAAGCGCATAACACATGGGAGTAGTTCCCTGAAATATAGTTATATTGAACCTTCAGATGCCTTTCACTTGTTGCTCACCTCTTATCATCCCATGCTGCGGTGAAAAAAAATCCGAAGGAAAGGGAAGAGGAAATATTGAGGTCCTTCTGACGTACCTCTAGTAGAAAGTAGACGGCTCAGTTGAGGTCGAGCTCGTTGAGAATGCTCTCGTCTTCGTTAGTTCTACACCGGATCGATCGGAAGTGAATTTGATTGTAATCGCGAGATGATGCGAGATATACCGGCAGAGTGATAATGAGAGTGATTAACCGGTATTGAGGATTCTTCATTCGTGATTTCGAACATCGGGCAGATGTGGTGAGATAATTTGAAATTCAAAACTTTCGAATATATTGGAAGACCAAAGCTGACGATTTCAACTCCTTTTAGTTTATTGATCAATTGATTATCTCGATAATTAATCATTGGATTTAGCAGGAAATGTCAAGATATTTTTTTCTTGTAGTAAATTTTATTCAGAAACTCCTCATTGTAAACAGAATTTTACATTTTATTTCGCAGATAATATCTGTAAATTAGCGGCACGTGACGAATTAAATTAGAAATGCTCATTAATTATCATCTCAATAATTATTCATTTTAAAGGAAATGGCCAATTCTCGAAGCTAAAAAATTCAATTCCATTTGTTTCAATTATTGAGCGATTATTTCGATAATTAATCATTGATTTTAAGAGGAAATGCCAAGAGATTTTTCTTTCTAGTAAATTTTATGAAAAAAACTCTTCATTATAAACATAATTTTCAATTTAATTCTGTAGATGAAATCTATAAATTAGCAGCACGTGATAAATTGTATTAGAAATGCTCATTAATTATCTCATCCCAATAATTATTAATTTTAGTAGAAATTGTCAAGAGAGTTTTTAACAGAGAAAAAATATCTCTTTACATTTTGGCAAACATTTCAGCATTTCGCGAAGCTGAACAATTTAATTCCCTTTTTTTCGCTGTTTATGTAATTATTTCAATAATTAATCCCTATATTTTAGAGGAAATGTTAATAGTTTGTTGTTTCTTGTCATTTTTTTTCAAATCCTCATTACAAACAGAATTTTCCATTTAATTCTGCAAACAAAATCTATGAATTAGCAGCACGTGACGAATTAAATAGAAATCTTGATGAATTATCTCATCCCAATAATGACTAATTAATTAAAATCAGTAATGATTAATTTTCAAATAAATGGTCAAGAGATTTTTTGATAGAAAATGTCTCTTTACATTTCGCTCTAAACCAAAAATCTGTGAAACCTACGAGTTGTTTTCTTGAATTTTGAAATAGAAAAACTTGATGAATCGAATTCCCCGAGTATTCGAAATATTACGAAGACATGTGTACGTCGAGGGACCCCAGGGAGATGGAACCGTTAGAGAAGAATAAGAGAATGGTTCCAGTGATCTTCTACTCATTGATCCTGGATCTCCTGGCTTTTACCATGATCCTGCCGCTGCTACCGGCGTTGCTGGATCATTACAAGAGCCACGATGATGATGGATTGTACTCCTGGATTCTAGGGTGTATCGATAGGGTTCAGATAAGACTGAATGCGCCCGAGAGATTCACCTCTGTCTTATTCGGGGGTAAGAATTTCTTCAATGTCGTCCCTACGTTGCTCATTCATTCTCCAGATATTTTCTCCATCTCCCATGATTTTTTGGATCACAATGGGCAATAGAACACAAAAAACCCAAAACTTAAATTTGAACGATTACATTGCTTCCATCATTCGGATGCAAAAATAGAAAAATAAATAAGTAAAGTAGGGAAAAAATACCTTCGGCAGAGTCTTTGAGCAATGAAATATTCTCCACGTCTGTGATGAAGAGTTGAATCCCATGATACACTGAGAACGCGTATTGTCTCTTAGTCAATTATCGAAACTAATTGCTTGCGTTCTTTATTTCAAGGCTTCATCGGATCGATGTATTCATTCCTACAGTTTCTGAGCATGCCGATTGTCGGGGCTCTCTCAGATATCTATGGGAGAAGGATAATGATGTTGATATGCTTGACAGGAGTCACAGTCTCGTATCTATTGTGGGCATTATCGCATAATTTTATGATTTTCGTATTGGCGAGGCTCGTGGGTGGCGTTAGTAAAGGAAATATTAGCTTATCAATGGCTATCATCACGGATGTCACGTTACCGAGTAAGAGGGGACGGTCTATGGTAGGTTTTCGTCGCTATTAACAGAATACGAAAATAATTTGGCGTGAGGGAGAATTAAAATCGATTTAAAAACAATGAAACAGCTATTTAACAATTAAGAAAAAGTTGAATGCTTGTCTTCCGTTTTTTTATTGGACTTGGGGCAGAGGGGGAAGGAAGGAAAATCATTAAGCAAGCCTGAATAGAAATAAAAATTGAATTGTTCAGAGATCGTTTCTATAAACGCAATCAAAGCGTAAAAATGCTGAATGAAAATGAAGGAAGAAGTGATAATAAAGAATGAGGTGAAATGGAAGTTCTTAAATCTTCAATATCTTCTGACCAAACGATTTGACTTGAACGAGTCACCTTTCATTTTAAAATTGATAAAAATATCTTGAAAATGAAAAAAAATTATTGAACTTCACTCAGCCAATCTTGAGATTTTGACGATTGAAAAATCGTTCTCAAGTTGAGTTGAATTGTTTTGCTTTATCACTCCATCAGTGAATTTTTTAATTGCACTCCAGTAGAAAAAATCAGTGGAAAATCATTGTGAAGTCTGAATACAAATTAATCATCCAGCTATCATAATTATAAACTCAACAAAAGGGTGAATGATGAATAGAATTGAATAGTGGAGTTTTTAACCACAACTACATGAAATGGAAATTTTAAATCTCCAATATCTTCTGCCCAAACGATCTCATTTGAACGAGTCCCATCTCGTTTTAAAGTTGATAAAAATATCTTGAAAATGAAAGAAAAAGGTTGAATTTCACTCGGTCAAACCGGAGATATTGACGATTGAGACAGATAACAGACAGGTGCAATTATTCTGTTTCCCACCTTCCTCAATTGATGAATTGAAAAACGAATTAAAAAAATTTCAGGCATTAGTTGGAATAGCCTTCTCGATAGGATTTGTATTGGGCCCGATAATAGGAGTCCTATTCTCGCGGATATCGAGTGGATCGAGGGATGATTACTGGTACGTCTACCCCGCGGTGTTCGCCTTCTCCCTTTCCCTGGCGAATCTGGTGTACGTCGCCCTCTCCCTGGAGGAGACGTTGAGCCTAAAAAAACGCTCGAAATCCCTTGCGCGAGGGCTCTCCGGGGCGATAATGTACATAAATCCAGTGGATTTGTTCCAATTCAATGGAGTCAATGCCCTCGAAGCGGACGGTCAGTGCAGACTAACAAGACTGATTCACCCAACAATTAATTATTGTTGATAATTAAAGTTTCCGATTTTTCATCACAGACTTGAAGCGCCTGAGAACGCTGGGACGCGCGTATTTTTTGTATCTATTCATATACAGTGGACTGGAATTCACTCTGACATTTTTAACGCACCATGCGTTCGGCTTCACCAGCATGCAGCAGGGGTACATGTTCCTGATGATTGGAATGACTATGGCTATACTTCAGGGGGGATTCGTGCGACGAATTCCCGCGGATAAAACTAAATTTTTCACTGAATTAGTGAGTCAAATTTTGAATGAGTCAAGGCTGGGGCAAAATGGATATTTTTTTGTTTTGTTTCCAATATGTTTAAATGAATGTGTAATTAATTAATTACTTGACACATTGCGATTAACTATCACAACATAATTAGCATAATTATGATAACGTAATTAATTAATGATTGAGCATTTATTTCGTTAATTAATGGGTTAAGCGCAGTCTTAGATCGTTATAAAGAAAAAGAATTGTTTTTTTCAAGGACAATTTTTATATTTGATTAATAATTTAATGAGTGTCCGTTTTGCCCCACTGGAAATCAATTTGGAGAATGGGAAGATGTGATGAATCAAATTCATTCTGACAATTTGGAGATATTGGCAATTACAAACTGGAATTGAGTTTGCTTCATCACTTCACTGATGAATTTTCTAATTCACAATAAAATGCATTAGAAAATCATTTTAAAAAACTCAACCAAAGAGCAAAAATGCTAAATAGAATTAAATGGAGACGTGATAACACAGAAAACACTAAAATGAAACTCTTCAATCTTCAATATCGTCCGAACCAACGATCCAATTTGAATAACTCAGAGTTCATTGCAAAGTTTGCAAAAAATATGTCGAAAGTGAAAGAAAAAAAAAGATGAACTGAAATTCGGAATAAAAAAATCTTGAAAATTGCAGAAAACACTAAAATTAACTCGAAGTTAACTCATCACATTCTCCCATTCTCCCCAAAAAATTATAAACTAAATTTCAATAATTGAATTCCAGGGCCTGTGGCTAATAATTCCAGCCTTCCTAATAATCGGCATAGCGAGCTCCATCAGTGTCCTCTACATCGGAATATTTATTTTCTCAGTGTGTGGGTAGAAAAAAAAACAAACTAAACGCCCGAGTAGATAATTTTAGTCCAACGTTCAGTTATTCCCGAAACTTTCCTTTTTGTTTTAGCAACCGCAATGGCTGTTACGTGTATGTCGACATTGGTAACTCGTATTGGCCCTGAGCATCAGAAGGGTACCATTACCGGGATATTTAGGTCACTGGGAGCACTAGCACGTGCCAGTGGACCCATAGTCGCCTCCATAGGTGATTTTTATTTCACGAATTTTTTTTTAGACAAAAAAAAATGGATTTCTTTTATCGAGAGCACGTGCTGCTTCTGGGTATTGATTGGGTCAACCCTGATACATCACGTATGCGCATTCTTCCTTTGTTCCACACCTTGTTCCTTCATACCTGAGATAATTAATTAGCTCATCACTCAGTGAGTCATTGATTAATTAGTCTTTTTTTGTTTTTAGCATTCTGGAGCATTGGCAGCGCTATAACGTATTTATTCGGAGCTCTAGTTCTTATTTTGCCTCCTTTGATACTCCACAATGTGAATATTGTTAATGAGAAGAAGGAAAGTTGATGATGAGATTATTTACCGTTGGTATTAGGGACGAGTGAAGTGGGAGAATGAAGTAAATTATGTTTGGTTGATGAGTTTTTGATGAATGTTTCCAAAAGTGAGGATGATTAAGGATTTTTTAATAACATTTAGCTCTCTTCGCTCACTTCGCTCCAAAGGAAAATTGATGTTGAGATTATTTACTATTGGAATTAGCGACGAGGGAAGTGGGAGAATGCAGTAAATGATGTTTGATTGATGAGTTTTTGATGAATGTCTCTAAACGGGAGGATGATGGGGGATTTTTTATATTATGTAGCTCTCTTCGCTCACTTCGCTCCGAACGAAAATTGATCATGAGATTATTTCCTGTTGGTATTCAGTTTTTTAATGAATGCCTCTAATTCGAGGATGATGGGGGAGTTTTTATCTCGTTCAGCTCTCTTCGCTCCGAAAATTGATGGTGAGATTATTTACTGATGGTAATAGGGACGAGTGAATAAACTCAATCATGTTTGGTTGATGAGCTTTCGATGACTGTCTCTAAATGTGAGGATGTAGGGGATTTTTTATCCAATTGAGCTCTCTTCGCTCATTTCTCTTTTCGATTTCAGGATAATATCGAGCAATAAAAAATCTAAGCCGAAGAATTAATTTTTTTTCGTATCACCTCAATTTTTTTCTGACTATTTTGGAATCTAGGGGAGATAGCGGAATTTTTAAATGGTGAACCATTATAATGAAGCTAAATAAAAGCTACAAATGTCATTACAAAACTTCCCCTATCCCCCTAGAATGTAAAATATTTTTTTAATGAATTCTCTTCGGATTTAGGGACGATTGGAGAATTCTCGTGAAGATCGTTTATAATAGAGCGAAACAAAAGTTACAAACGTCATCAAAAAATTTAAAAAAATAGTAATTATTTATTAATTATTAATTATTGTTTATTAATTTATTTTTGAGAAATAAAACAAAATCCCTGATTCCTGGATTAATTTACATCGCTTGGAGATGAATACGTTTATTGGTCATCAAAAAAATTCCCGCCTCCCCTAGATTCGAAAAAACTCCCTAAAATAACTGAAATTGAATCGAAAAAAATGGACTTTCCAACATTAAAATCCTTTTTTGCTTCACATTATGAGATCTGAGACACACAGGGGTTATCTCATGATGATTTGTCGCATTTCCCTCTATAAGAACGTGCTATCCCCCCTAGAACTTAAAAATATTGAGCCAAAACTAATTTTAATGTTAAAAATTCACTTTTTAAATTTTTTTTTATTGGTGAATATGGAATCTAGGGACGGAAGGAGAATTCTCATGAAGATCTTTTATAGTAAAGCGAAATAAGAAGTGCAAACGTCCTCGAAAAAATTCCCGTCTCCCCTAGATTCGAAGAAACTCCCTAAAAACTGAGGTTGCGCCGGACAAAAAAAAATGTTTCAACTTTGAGATCCGTTTTTGCTCGATCCAAGAGATAAAAAAACAGAGCAAAATGAAAACTACTGATTTAATTACAAAAATTCCTCTATCTCCCCTTGAATTCCGAGATATTCCTCGAAGCCGTCTCGCCAATTTGACTGATCTCCTCTTTCCAAACAAATTCGACAAAAAATAAATAAATAAATAAATAATAATAAATTCATAATTTTACAAAATTATGAATTTTTAAAACCAACAACTCGATCAGTGTTCTCCTACTCCGAAATAAAATAAGCAAATTCTACCCAATCGTCTCATTATTTACACAAACATTTCCTGCAAACGCATGCGCGATAACGCAGCCAATCCCCATGCATTCATCAATCCGATAATAACAATCTCAAACCCCTGTTCTTTATCCTGCTAAATACCGCCGACTGGTAAAAATTCCCACGTCTTCCTGGTATCACCCCCTCCCCTCTCCGCCCCACCTTAACTTCCCGCAGCAAAAACTTAAAAGAACATCGATCACGTGATCTCCCCCGCACGCCAATTGGTTGGCGTGGACGCACACAACGGACGCGCCACAACGTCCCCCCTAAGTCCTCAATCCCTCCAAGCCCATCGATCCAATTCGAAAAAATCACCTCTCATTTCAAGCTCCACAAAAAACCCTTTGAATTAAAAAAGAAAAATTGGAATTTCACTCAGCCGATCCCCAGTAATCCCCAATCGAAGACGACCCCAATCCCCATAACGAAGAAGAGCGAAATAAAACTGAGCCCCGTGAACCTGCGATATCTCCGAAACAAATGATCCGATTCCGATCAATCGGGGGTCATTTTAAAGTCTAAAAGGAGAGCTTCAAAATGAAAAAAAAATTGCGAAATTTTACTCAGCCAGTTCCAGGAAAATGGAGACTGCAAACGCACGGATTTTACTAGACGCACACCTACTCCCCCCTCTCTCGCTCGCACTCGGTGCGATTGGTATTAGCCAATAATAACAATGGTAACCGACGGTATAGTTGAGAATTCTGAGAATTCCACGATTGCGGAGTTCTCCGTGGACGATGCCATTGGCAGGCCAGACATTGGCACTAGCCTCTCCGAGGAGGGGGCACTCAGTTCCTCTCGTGTGCCTTCGTGTTTCATTACATCTTGAGTTGAAGAAAAAAGAAGAGGGAAAAGTGTCTCCAATTTTCCTCCTGCAAACACCCGAGAAATATCAAACCGAGATTTGAGATTAATTAACGATAAAACTGCGGGTGTTTTCACGATCAAGGGGACTTGGTTATCACGAGAATAGAACAACAATCGGTGAAACACATCTTCCGCCATTCTAGATTTCACGGTTTAGGGGAGAGACCCTTCCCAAGAGGTGAGTGATTATTATTTTGGGATTTATTGATGAGATTGTTGAGCTGGTTTTGAGGAGTTGGGGATGTGGTGGGGTTAGACCGGATGGCTCATGTTTTGCGCATTATGGAGGTGGCGTCCGGCATCTTTGCATCATCGGGGGCTCCTGGTGATGCGGGTGATGGGGTTATTTTGGATTTCTTGGTTGATGGCTGACGTTTTCATTGGTTTAGTTTGATTGTGGTCATTTTTATTGATGGGGAGGGCTCAGCATTGTTGTAGCATTTTTATTTCGTCTTTCTCTTTTGGATTTTTCGTTGATGCAGGACTGAATCCAGAGGTTAAAGACGTTTTTTCCTCTGGAGATTCATTTCGGTTTTCAATCTTCAATCCAACGATTTTTTTTTATTTTCAGAATAATTTTTGTAAAATTATGAGACACAATGAGACTAAAAGAATTAAATGAAATTACTCTTGATTAATAAAGTTAATCAAGAATAATTAATTTATTAATTATTAATTATTATTGATTAATGAAATTATTCCTTGAAATGAGACTTGATTCATCCAAATCATATTATTTGTTCGGGCGTTATTATTTTGCATCATTTATTGATGATATTTATTGCTGGGGAGGATTCAGCATTGTTGTAGCATTTTTATTTCGTCCTTTTGGTTTTTCATTCAATGAAGGACTGAATCCAGAGTTTAAGGACTTTTTTTTCTCTCAAGATCCACTTCTGTTTTCAATCTTCGGTATCTGGAGATCGGGAGAGTGAAATCCAACGATTTTTTCATTTTCGAGATAATTTTACAAGTTTTAAAATGAGACCTGATTCATCCTTCGCAAATCGCATCATTTAATCTGGAGATATCGATAATTGAAAAGGATTGTTTTTCCCTCCACATTTCCTCATTTTCTGTTTGAGATTCAGAGGAATTAGCATTTGCATGAAGAGCAGACATGTTGATTGATTGGATGAATCATTCATTAATCATTGTTGAGGAAGATTCTGTATTGTTACAGTACTTTTATTTCTTTATTTCTTTTTTTTTTATTTGCTCATGAGCTGACGACTAGAGGTTAGCTATTTTCCCTCCCATTTCCTCCTTTCTGTCACTCCAGACGCCACACGATAGGTGTGAAAATGAGTCACGAGACGACGAGATTAACCGATGAATTGAATTACACTCGTTGTTTCAGGATTTTCAGAATGTCTCTCTGGGCAAAAGCACAGCAGCTGCCCCAGGAGTCACTGCAGCAGGTGCGCTCAGTGTATGGGGAGCATTTTCCCATTGAAGTGAGACACTTCTTGTCGTCATGGATCGAGGAGAAAATGTGGTAATTATGAATGAATCTGTGCTAATTATCCATGCCATCTTGGAAGATTTCTATAATTAATGAGTGAGGTGGGGACTTTTGCATCAATTCTTGCTGAATATCTCGCAATCTAGGGAGAATAGGGGAATTTTTATTCAGGATTTGTTTGTAGAAAATTTGCTCAGCTACAAAAAGTGTCTTCTGACATTTTCCTCTAAAACGAATAGTTTAAATTAAATTCAATGAAATATAAATTCAATTCTAGTAAAACGCATTGATAAAACAAAAATACGTAATTTTTTTTTTTAAAGTTCCCCATTTTCTTACCTTTTTTTTCATTCGATTGAAATTCAGCATCACATTTTCCTTTTTCTTCCTGTGGGTCTCCCCCTGCTGTTTCATTTTTCTTTCAATTAATCCATTGACTTATGCCCAGTTTTTGATGAATATCTCGGAATCTAAGAGAGATAGCAAAATTTTCCTCAAGACCTTTTTTATAGCCCTCAATGGGCTCTACAAAAAAGGTCATGACAAAAATCTTCCTATCTCGTTTAGATTCCGAGATATTCGTCAAAAACTGGCCAATAGTCCAAATCGACTCAACCCGATTTACCGCTTCGCTACTGAATTGTCATCACCATGTTCACCGCTTTCCACTCCCCCAGGACTGACATCGAGCCAGACAACCCGCAGTACGAGCAATACACAACGAACCTCGTGGGTTCATTGATCCAGGAACTAGAGACAAAAGCAGCCTCTCTCCACACAGAAGACCTCTTCCTCACGAAGCTCAAGTTGATCGAGGCAGCGAAGACCTTTCGTCAGCGTTACTCCCAGAATCCAGCGACCCTCTTCCGCATAATCCGCCACTGCCTGGGGACCGAGATGAAGCTGGTGGCGCAGGTGGAGAACCTGGGAGGAGCCCTGATGAGCATGGCGCATGGCAGAGTGGGTCTGATGGTTGGTGATGCAGTGGCAGAAATAGCACAGCAAGTGGAGGCTCTTCGTCGCAGGACCCAGGAGACTGGAGAGGACCTTCGCAAGATGGAGCAGGAGCAGGAGGCCTTCGCCATCAGTTACCACGAGTGCACGAAGGTCAATGCTCACCTCCAACAACTGGCAACTCACCCCCAGAGCCAGCAGAGCATTGAGGCAGAGAAGAAACTCAGACGACAGAAGGAGCAGCAGGAGCAGCTTCTCAATCACAAAGTGGCCAGTCTCATGCAGCTGCGTTTGACACTCGCTGACAAGCTCAAGGACACCATCACCAGACTCGCCAGTCTGCAGTCTCGAGTCCTGGATGAGGAGCTCATCAGGTAGGGGTCGCTTCAGGTTTATGATTATGAGTGTTTTCACCGATTATTGGGATGGTTTTCGACATCTAATAAAACAAGAGTATTAGGGGAGAGTGGGGCAAAATGAAACAGTCGAAAAATAACTGCTTGACACAATTCAAGCAAGAAACATTTTTTTTAACGATGTACCTGCATCCTTTCGCCCAAAATTCACGTTTTTTTCCATTTTTCTGGCAAATTATTGATCGGATTGACGCGAAATAATATACCGTTTTTGCGTTTTATCATTATAGACTGACTCACGAAGTTTCATGATAGCGCAATCATTTTCCTGGATTTTTTTTCTAAAGTTTTATGAATTTCTGAAAAGTTTTAGAAAAAACGTAGGAAAATTATTGCACGATCATGAAATTTTGAGAGTCATTAAGTAATGATAAACCGCAAAAACGGTACATTTTTTCACACCAATCCGATGAATAATTTACCAGAAAAATTAAAAAAACGTGAATTTTGGTGAAAAGGGTGTAATGCATCCTTAAACTACAAATATTAACTAAAACAGTCGACACAGAACTTTAGTACAACTAAAACCCAAGTCTTCACATTCGCTACACTATCTCCATTTATCCATCATATTATTTCGTCGTCACATAAACTAAACTGCTAATAAATTCCCCCCGCAAAATAAAATATTAAATCCAAAGGTGGAAGAGAGACCAGCAATTGGCAGGTAACGGAGCGCCCTTCAACAGCACCCTGGACTCCATCCAGGAGTGGTGTGACAGTTTAGCCGAGTTGATTTGGTTGAATCGTCAGCAGATAAAGGAGGCAGAGCGACTCAAGCAGAAGTTGGCGCTGGATCCCCCAGGTGTCCAGGACATCCTCCCGACCTTGAACTCCCAGATAACCCAGCTGCTGAGTTCCTTAGTGACAAGTACATTCATAATCGAGAAGCAGCCGCCCCAGGTCATGAAGACAAACACAAGGTTCACGAGTACAGTGAGACTGCTGGTCGGTGGAAAGTTGAATGTTCACATGACACCCCCTCAGGTGAAGGTCTCGATCACCAGCGAGGCCCAGGCAAACTCCCTCCTGAAGAACGACAAGATGACGAAGAGTGGAGAGGCCAGTGGTGAGATTCTCAACAACACTGGCACCATGGAGTACCATCAGGCCACCAGACAGCTGTCCGTAAGCTTCAGGAATATGCAGCTGAAGAAGATCAAAAGGGCAGAGAAAAAGGGAACGGAGTCTGTGATGGACGAGAAGTTCTCGCTGCTGTTCCAGTCGCAGTTCAGCGTTGGAGGGGGCGAACTTGTGTTCCAGGTGTGGACACTGAGCCTCCCAGTGGTGGTTATTGTCCATGGAAACCAGGAGCCCCACGCCTGGGCCACTGTCACCTGGGACAATGCCTTCGCCGAGCCCGGGAGAGTGCCATTTGCAGTTCCAGACAGGGTGCCTTGGTCACAGGTGGCTGAGGCACTCAACGTCAAGTTCAGATCGGCAACAGGCAGGTCCCTGATGGAGGACAATCTTCGGTTTCTCGCGGAGAAGGCGTTCAGAGGGGGTGTGGGCAGTGTAGCCAATCCTGGAGCCACTCCATCTCCAAATATGTCAGGCCAAGAGCAGGATTACTCGAATCTCCATCTGAGCTGGGCTCAGTTTTGCAAGGAGCCTCTGCCAGAGCGCAATTTCACCTTCTGGGAGTGGTTCTATGCGGTGATGAAACTGACGAGGGAGCACCTGAGGGGACCCTGGATCGACGGTTACATTCTGGGATTTGTTAGGAAGAAGCAGGCTGAGGAGATGCTGGCCTCATGTCCCTCGGGCACATTTTTAATGCGTTTCTCAGACTCCGAGCTCGGTGGCGTCACCATCGCCTGGGTCGGCGATCAGTCTGAGGTCTTTATGCTCCAGCCATTCACCAGCAAGGACTTTGCCATCAGGAGTCTTGCTGACAGGGTCTCTGATCTCCATCATCTATTGTATCTTTATCCTGATCTATCCAAGGATCAGGCATTCTCCAAGTACTACACTCCATTCACTGAGAATCAACCGACTTCGAATAATGGTTATGTCAAGCCATTACTCGTGACACATGTGCCAGGATGGGGTGGCCCTGGGGTGGGGGGACAGACACCATCGCATTCTTCCATCGTTGGAATTGGCGGTGGGGGACAGGGGGGACATGGGGGCAGCTATCCAGCTACTCCTTCCACTATGTTCCAGGCACACAGCCCGGATCCCTCGGTCACCAGGGATACACCGTCCGTTGCTTCGAGGTCAGTACCTTGGATGTAAAGGGGGGTGGCGATGAGGGAGTGGTGGAATGAAATTTCTTGGTGGGAGAATTGTTAATTAGCAAAATGGACCTCTCTAGGAGCTGGGAAATTTTAATGGTACGGGGGTTGTCGCTAGCGTACAGATGACTGGTGCTTATTTTTTATATTAAAAAAATTAGAAAAAAATGAGTTTTAGTTTTTTTTATTGATGAGATGTGGCTGTGCAGGCGTGAATTCTTTGAAATAGTCGCATTACCACGATTTTTGCTGGATTGACACCAATTTTTGACCTCCACACGTAATATATTGATGAGAAAAAGAATGTTTTTTTTTAAATGTGAATTTTTTAAAAACTCATATTTTTTGTCGTCAATGTATGCGCAATGTAACCAAAATTCAAGTCAATTCATCAAAAATTCTGGTGAAGGGACTATTTTGAGGATTTTATTTCTATACAGCCACAGGTTGTCAAACGAAAAGAATTAAAATTTGTTAATAGTATCATAAAAAAAATTGTTAATAATAAAAATGGACTTCTCTAGGTGCAGGGAAATTTGAAAGTTGCAAGGGGTTGTCTCTATCATACAAATGACCTTGGTACTTATTTTTTCTAATAAAAAGAGAAAAAATCAAGTTTCAATTTTTTCTAATGACGAGATGAGGCTGTACAGGCATAAAAATTTTAAAATGGTCCCTTTACGAGGATTTTTAATATATATTGACGAGAAAAAATATGTGATTTTTTTTTAATTCCTATTTTTCGATTTTTAAATTTTTTTTTCTCAGAATTGGGAGGGACAATCGTATTTTAATATGTTGCATATTGAAGGCTATGGCACACCAATGAGCTATATTTTTTAAATATTTTTTTATCATTAGTATGGCAGTTTTGTGAAATGAATGGATTGAATTGAATAAATTGATTTTTTCTCATTCTTTGAGCATAAAAAATGAGTGCCAAAATCATCAGCCAGGTAGGGACGGCAAATTTCTCCCCTTAATTGATTAAATCAGTGGAGAGAATTTAAGTTTATAAATTGAAGGTCTCTTTTTGGGAAAGTCAATTCAATTGAAAAAATTCTTGATGTTTTTTGGAGAATCTCTGATTGATGAGACGAATTCAAAATTAATAAAGATGAAGAAGCCTGAAAAAAAAATTGAAAAGCCATTTTTTCAGAGAATTCAATTCTCTTGAAAAATGTCTATTGACGGTTTTTCTTGAGCCACTCATCATGAAGATAATAAAAAAATTGACAAGAATTTATTGAGTAATTCTCGTCAACAACTCACAAGTGTCATCTGTAATATTTAATTTATTTCAGGTGATGTTAAAAATAAAAAAATTCTGGCAAAAAATGTCCATTAACAGCAAAATATCAAGAGTCAATTTTTTCAATGTTCAACATTCTCCGACAAATCGGCATTACAACATTCTACCACTCCAATCAAATTTTACATTTTATAACGCAACTAAAATTTTTGAAATTTTTATTTTTGAGTTATATACCGGAGACACTAGTTGTCACTCTCACTGTGAAACTCGTGTATTTCTTCGAGCAATTATTTTTTACATTACTTTACAACTGTGTGAGGAGGTGGGGTTAGACCGGTGCAGCTACTGCTTTTACCCTAAATCGTATTCTTAATTAATAATTTTTGTACTCGTCCAGTGATACATTCTGCGTTAAGTATTATTCATAAATCGTTAATGAGCGAATATACATGATTTTTTATTAGCTTTATATTTGATACATTTGATACTTGATGAATATACTCCACATTAACTTTTAAATACGAATACATGCGTGACTTTTTGTCTCAATGATCGAGTTTGCATGGTGTTATATAATAATGTCATTCGGCTGCGCCAATATCTACGTTAATTACGGATTTGCATGAATCTTTGTCCGTTGAAATTCGCTTCTTTATTCCTCAAAATAAAGTGAAAGTAAAAAATTAGAGGTGATAGAACACTGATTTTATTAAGGGGAGACCATGGTGAAATTTTAAAGCTGTAGGGGATTTTTTATACCCAAAAAATGATTTTATACCCCTAAAATTCAATTCAATCGATTGAGAATTGCGTCATGACTATCCTTTTAAAGATTTCATCACCAAAAAAAATCAAAACCCAATTTTTTCTCATTTTTTACATTAAAACTGAAGCTGTAATCTCACCAGCGCGATAAATAAAGTTCTCTGCGATTTCTAAATTTCAGTGCGGTCTCCCCTGACAGAAAAATATGTTAAAATAGGAAAAAATTCATGCAATTCCAAGCTGAACCGTCCTTTTCATATCAAACATCAGCCCTTAATTCTCAATAAAAAAAATAAATCGTCGATAAGTGGTCGCAGTATTACAAAAACGCCTCATATCAGCTGTGAATAGCTGCACGAAAGTTTAACAAGTAATAATGATAATGCAAAGGCCTGGAGCAAGCCGGTACAACCACATCATAAAGCCTGGTGTTTATTTATTCGCTTTGAAACAAAACGCAACTCCAATTGGACACCCATCCATCCATCAACTGGCAAATTAATCGATCATATTCGTCACAATGGGATGATTTCCACTGTTTATAAATTTAAAAAATTACAGTAATTGATAGAGAAAACATCGCACGCGCCCTTTACATTTTTTTATCAAAAAGAAATCGACATCTAGAAGAAAAAAACAAACTTGTAGAAAATAATTCTAAAGAAGAACGTATCTCGTTATTTCGAGGATGAGGTTTGATCGTGAATAACTCAACATTGGTAGAGTGAAATTCGCCGATTTTTTTTCATTTTGAAGGCATTCTTTCCGGCTTCAAAATGAGCCTCGACTAATCCAAATCGCATCATTCATTCCTGAGATATTTCCGTTTCAAGAGATACGTATTTTCGAAAAGTTTTCACGATTTGTTTTTTCACCACTAGATGTCGAAATCATTTTGTCAATTAACATCATAATTAATTATGTGGTTGTTTGCTGCGCTTTGGGCGTGTTGTATCGGCTATTCCGGCTAGTCAAACGATAAATTTTCAAACGAAAGATGATGGAATTATCAAAAGAACAAGGACAACATGTTTGTTTAGTTTAAAATGATCTTTATAATTTTTTTTTAATTCCCTTCTGGTATTGTGAGAATTGCCAGTGATTGGGGTTGTGTTTTGTTCTATGATAGCTATGCTCCGGGCCTCGGTCAGTCGGGTGTTGGTCGACCAAGTGACATGGACTACGTGGAATTGATGGGACACAGTGATCTGGCGTCAATCGATGAAAATCTCAACCTGGATCAGCTCAATGGATTTGGGTTTGGTGAATTTATGCAGACTTACAAGCCCCAGTAGGTACGTTCACCAGCAATATCCATCAGCAAAGAGAGGCCCTCAAATATCTCCAGACCATCAAAGAAAATTTACGAATTTTTGTTTTCATTTTGAAGGGCTTTTTTTGAGCCTTAAAATGAGACTTGACTCGTCCAAATGGCATCGTTGGGTCAGGAGTTATTGAAGATCAAAGGGAGGTTCGTTTTACCTCTTCTGTCCCTCATTGGGGGATGGAAAAAATTATTTCGCATGAGAAAGCTATATTTTTTTTTATTGTGGAATGGTTGGGGGATGAGTGAGAGAATTTGAGGGGGAGATATCCTCGTTATTTTGATGCACAGAATGCCACGTGTACGTGATAAGTAGTTAACGAAAGGTTATTGATGTAATTATTGTGTACGCATTTGGTGGATGCAAACATATTTTTGATGACTGTTTAAATTTAAGAGTTTAAGAGGTGAATTGGGTGGGACATTACGGGGAGATCTTGAGAATTATAAACAGAGAATTATTCCTAAAGAGGAGGATTATCGGTTTTAAAGGAGTGGGGTAGAACAGGATGGCTTTTTCGTCAATATCTTCAGTTTGGCAGAGTGAAATTCAAACTTTTTTCTTTCATTTTCAAGATATTTTTTCACGCCTCAAAATGAGCACCGACTCGTCGAAATCGCATCGTTAGTTCGCAAGATATTGAAGATTGAAAATTTGAACTTCACGTCATCCTGTATTGCCACTTGAATTTTCTTCAGCATTTTCACTTTTTGAGTTTGTAACGACGATCGCTGGACAATGAAATGCGTATTCATACTTTATACCGATATTTCCTCTCCCCCCCCAAGTGCAATGACGAAAACTAAGTGCTTTTTGTTACTTGTTAAATATCTATTTCATTGTATTTATATAGTTGATTTTTATTTACTCTCTTTTAAGGGGTACATTAAGTACAGTTAAACTAGAATTACAATGAACCTTGCGATCGTTGCTATATAAGTATCACAATTACGTTCTGCGTGTCAACAATACATTTTAGCGTCCCAAAGGATAGGATACTGCGCAATTTATCATAAGAAATTATAATTACAAGCTTATTACTCAGCAAGCCAGAGTGCTGTAGCTTTTATAGAATAAGCGCTCTCATTTCTCTCCAAGAACGATGAAAAAACCATCCTCTATTATTATGATTATTTCATTTTGCAAATTTATTACTATTTTTTACCCAAAACTTTAACTTTGTCGATCGAAGAAATTGCACTGGAATGATTGGGAGAAGTTTTACGAGCCCATAAAATTTGAGATGATGTTTTTAATGTAGTAGGACTCGATGTACCACGATATAACTGTTTTAATTGGAGTTAATGGTAAAAGACGTTGAGAATAAGCCGACACAATCGTTGGTCACCAGGGGTGCCTTAGGTTAAAGAGTAGTTTGTGGTGGACCAATGCAGGAAAGTGGAATATTTGTTGGTATTGTATAAAAGAGTCGAAGCACTCTCGTCACCCCTAGCTCACCTCGAGGTTATGATGGAGAATGTACGAGGCAATGCCATTCCCCAAGAGGTGACTGTAAATAAATGCTGACGAGAGTGATCACTAGGCAAAATGAGACACAATGACAATAACGTTGATGATCATTTTGTCTCAATTATTTCGTCAATTACATTATTGTATTTTAAGTTTCTCTGCAACGAATGGTGTTGCAATTTTAATAAACATTTTTGATGATCTAGAGGTGACGAGTAATCATCGTAATTGTGAACTAACTTTGTGATTTTTTTTTTTTTTTTTCGTGGATTAATTACGGTGATTGTACGACGAGATGTTGATGATGTATGAGCATTACTTGGAATGTAATTATGTTCAGAGGATTAAAGAACTATTCACTGCTATTTTCTTGGGGTTTTGGTGTTTTATTTGGATATGAACACGGGATTTATTTATTGATGATTTCAGCGGTTTATTTGGGAGAGGGTGATGGTGTTGAGTGCATATTTTATTGAAAGAATCAGTAATGAAACCAGGGGTAACGCTCACGGGGGGATTTGAACACCCACAGCCTTCAGATTACCAGGGGTCAATAGCAAGGAGTTGCCTCGAGGGTCTCGCATTCCTCGACGAATTTACCAGGTGGTGCGAAACTATTCAGATACGTGGATTCTCCCTGCATCCGACTTTTAGGCGCCTGGTACTTGCCCTTTTGCGCCCAGGGGAGGGGAACTTTTGGCTCCAAGTTCCAGACTTTAAAGGAGAGCTTGTTCACTGTGTCTGTATCTAGTTTGGATGTTGGCCTGTTGTTGCAAATGGGAAGAACAACGAATGAAAAATCGATGAATGAAGAATAAAGGATAAAACTAGAGATAGAGGATAAGATTGATTACGTGTTGTATCGAGCCTGAGGCTTGAAGCTCTCGAGAGGTGCGACCCTTCCCGGATTCATATACGAGAATTGTGTTGTCGTTGAGGCCTCGAATGGAGCTGTGGAATTATGGATTTTATCGCAGGGAATTATTGCCGACGGTTTCTCGGACATTTTGGGCCCAAAATCATCGCGATTCGTTGTATTTGAGGGGATTTGGCCTTGAGCACTCAGGATGCTTCTCCCTTTCGGGCGGATGGGGGTTCTTTTCTCGCCGGAGACCACTTGATAACTCAACTACAATTCATTAATTCAATCGTCGGTTTTATTTTACCATTAATTATCTCTGAATTATTTCCAAACTTTCTCATCCCGAGATATTTCATCACAATTAAGGGGATGAAAGTCTACACTGGGCCTTGGGACCTATTGAATAGTTTGTGATATATGACGGAATATGCAAATAACTAGGGAAAATTGCGGATGCGATTGATTTTGTTCCGCATAATCACGAAAAACTTCATTTTTTCCTGTTTTTATCTTCAAACTGCTCCTTGCGCCGTAGTTTTTATAGGATTTTAGCTTTTTTTAAATGTTCGTTACACTCCAAAGAATAAAGTTAAGCATCCGTTTTACTTTATTCGCAATAGATCATGAATAATTGAATTTTGAATTTCATGAATTTTTCGCATCTCCAGAGTAGAGTAAAATTTTTGTTCAAACTGTTCAATGGGTCCCAAGGCTCAGTGAAGACCTAAATTTCCCCGACGGATCCTCTTAATTGAGATATCTGTAATGATACCTTTGAAGTAGTGTCATGAGACATTTTCTGATCAGACAGGAGGATGTTCTCGCAGGGAATGACAGGGGCAACGCGTTCGTTCTTGTGGGGTATGAAGAGATCACTGTAGAGGGTACTCCCAGTGAAGGCTGCATCGTCTCCTTGGATGAGATTTTTAGTCCCCACTGGGACAATTGCCTTCTCCCTCGTGGGGACATCAGGGCTACTGTAGAAACTGTTCGAGTATGTTGTGCAGTTGTCCATTGCTACATTCGATGGTCTAAAGGGTAAAGTGTTATTTCATCGCACTGTTGGTAAAACGCAAAGAAAAATTACTCCTCGCTCGTGTGATTGCATTTCTCGGCTTGGGGTCGGTCTGCAACCCTTACACTCGCCAGAAATGGTAGGGGAGGGTGGGGTGAAATGCACACTAGACTTTTTTCAAATTATTCGTAACTCAGAAACAAATCAGTAGTGAAGTGGTAAACGGAGATAAGTCGACTCATCTCCCAGTTGAGTTTTTGAGGAATATTTCCGAATCTAAGGGAGATAGCGAAATTTTCGTAATTACATTTGTTGTAGCACTCAATCAGCTCCACAAAAAAGGTTGTAACAAAAATTTTGCCATCTTCCTTAGATTCCGAGATATTGATTAAAAACTGGTCAGTAGTCAAAATTGACTTATCTCCTTTTACCACTTCACTACTGAAATTTATCAATTGCGCTCAGTTTAGACTCATCACAATGGGAAAGAATTGATCTTTGCATTGAAAATAAATATATTGAATTTCATCAACATTTCTGCCCGTCATTAACATTTAAAAAAATATTAAAAGTGTCCATTTTACCCCAATCTCCCGTATATTTCGTCGTTAGGCCGAAAAAAAATTTCGGCGAGGGTTTTTGCTGAGACTCATTTCCTCATTATCCATTTTCTCGAAATAAATGACCTGCAATCATCTCCCCCTTCCCTCCCGCCCGCTAAAAACCCCAGACCTACACATATTTCGCCTTCTGCGCCCATGGATAGACCTCCCTCTGAAGCACTTCGACCGGTTGATAGCTCAGTTTCGAGGTCGTCTCGTCCGAGAGTCTCACCTCAGGTTCGCAGTACCTGTTCACGGGTTTGAAGCTCTGAATCTGTTCGATTCGCCTGGGAGCCATGTAAGAGCACCCACTGGTCGTTCCTCCGTCGAAGCGAGCGGAAGGGGTTCTGATATTTCCACACGGGATTATAAGCTGGGGCTTGTCGATGTACTTCTCACAAAAGTCTTGCTTTACCGTCGTCATCGTCTGCATGGGCCCCTCGAACATGTTCCTCCTTTCAATTGAATCGTTCATTTGAATCATCGTTTATGATAGTTAAGGGAGGACATTTTTTCATCATTTTCTTTTTATTTCTAAATCGCTGATGAGTTTACCCCTTCATTTGTAACGTAAAGAATTAGAAACAAGTGGGGAATTGCTTTTGTATTGTATTCAGTACAGTTATTTTTGCTAATAAATTAGCAATATGATTCGAATGGTCATTTTGCACATCATTTCCTTCTATCGTGTATAATTGAAGTAGTAAACTCATCAGCACGATGGACGAAGGCACCAGCGATTTTTAAATTTCAGTACTGTCTCTTCTAGGACCGAATGAGATCACAGACCTGCGCTGGGGGACAACAGGCTTCGCCTTAACGACTTTCCACACGGGCTGATAACTCATCCGAGATGTTGTCCCATCGTGAAACTTTTCGTCTGAGGTATGCAAATTCTCAGCTGGTCGAAATGGCGCTAATCTCTTGTACTTATCACCATCGACATTGAGGTACGAAGTGTCATACGTTGTTCTCGTGTCAAGACTCACTTCCGGTGGGCAAAACGCCCGCTTCGGGGCGAATGATTGCACGCGCGGGGGTTGGATGTAATAACTTCGGCATTTTACGCCCTGTGTTGTAATGAAATATTGCACAATTTCAAAAGCCTGATGAAATACAACAAATCGACGATTTTTTCAAAGATGTCGAATCACATGGTTCACTCTTCCAAGTCATTTATCTCGTGAACCTTTGATTTTAGAGCGAAATGTGATAAGACATTTTTTGTGGGGAATTTTGTCATCTACAAAAAAGGTCTTATGGAATTTTACTGTGGAACCAGTCGTTATCGAAATATTCAACAAAATGTGAAAAATTATTCTGCGATTGAACTCACAGGACGTGGAGGTGGACACCCCTTGGGTCTGTAATAAGGAGTGGACTGTTTCTCCTGCACTTTCGTGCAAACAGGGCTCACTTCCATCCTCTCGAGATAGTAAAATCAGTTAAAAATGGGTGAAAATTGTATTTATCAAAAGAGTACATTCAATTGACGAAACACGCGGATGGAGCACGAATCATGATGAAATTAGCTGCAATTGATGTTTTTGTTAAACATTGTCATTCGTTTTAACTTCAAATCGTCCACCCTGCGGTGTAATAGAACATTGAATAATTGTTTTTTTGAAGAATGAGAAGAATTTCATCTCAACATTCTCGATTCATTCATCCCTCAAATTAGTATGATTTAATAATTCAATTATCTCATAAACCATTGATTTGGGGGGAAAATGTCAGTAGATATTTTTCATGGGAAATTTTCTCATTTACAAAAAAGGTCTTCTGATCTTTCCTTGTAAGACCACTCGATATGGAGATATTCAACGAAATGTAAAGTAATTCTGCAATAATTCCCTTAAATTTCACAACAGCTCACAATCTCTCAAATAGTCATCTTTAAATATTTATTCAAATGCTCGGTAATAACTGTAACAATAATAGTAATTGGCACAAACAATTCTACAATAGTACATGTGACTGAAAAAATACATATTTCTGTTTCAGGAGAACTACTCATGTTTTGTTTGTGTCTTGTTCGTTATTAAATTTTGTATACAAATGTCTACATCAGTGTACCGTATGCATTATTCAATGAAAAGTGAACAGGCATTTATATTCATCATGTATACAATTTTTTACACCACAAATTTTCTCAGTTTGATCTAGAGTCCCAATGAAAAATAATATTTAAAAAATGCTAAATTCACTGAGATGAAGGGGATTAGGAAGAAGAGGGCGTTCTCATTAAAATCGTATTACAAATAATTTTACCATCTGCTTGTATTCATTCATCGCCTCGTCATTTCACTCTCAACTCAGTTATTATGACCTTAAGTATTATGTTGTATTTATAATTGTTCCACTGGTCTGGGGGGGGGGAGGTGATTCAACACCAAGAGAAGAAGGGACTTTTGTTCTGGAAGCGCTGGGTGAATGTATCGGAAAACGAGAATAATTTTGGCGTTCCATTGCCTTTCGCTCTGGGGGTGAAAACAGATTAAAATTATGTAAAGGATTTTTCCATTTTCAATTTACAAAATTATGTTAATTAAGGGGAGACTACTGTGAGTTCTAAAAGTCGCGGGCTATTGAAGTGAGATTTTTCATACATTGAAGATCGATTATATATGTCTAAAAACGAATAACTCAGTAGCGAAGTGGTAAAACGGTAC